GAGATAGTAACCTATAGACAGCCATCAAAACATGCAAATGCAGGAAGATTATTTGCCATGCAACATTTGCTATGGGTTCTTTATAAAAGATGAACTATGGAAACATGAGAAATGGTGTCGCAAAACAATGGGTGAGTCAGAAGTTAAATCCCAGAAAAAAATAAGAGTTCAAGCTGCTGCCTCAGCTCTCCTTCCATACAAAGGACAGCCATCAGAAAGATGCTCAAACATTAAGAGAATGGTAATTGACAAGGTGCCCCTTGAATTAAGACATGACCCTCTTATATGTGTATTTGAAGATAGACTGCTGGAGAAACACGCGAGTGATCGATCAAAAGATGGTCATGACAGAAATGACAAAGTAACTAAAAATGTCCATCCTGGTTACTTCTTCTCTTTAAGGGTCCTCCAAACGCAAGAGGTCAAAGATGGCATCTTAATCATCTCAAGTTTCAGACGGTATGAACATTCTTTGGGTCATGCGAGGAGCACTGTGGAGACGATGATTCGTGGTTAATAGTGAGGTGACGTGTTCTTCTGCTGCACAAGAATCAGACATGCTGACTCAACAGGCCTCAACTACAGGACCATCACACAAGCTCCAAAGGACAGAGAAAACAGGTACTGCTCAGTTCTCAGATTTGAGTAGTGTTAATTACAGTAGATGTGGATTAACAACACATTACAAATTAGATCACCAGATAAATTTTTGATTTATCAATACTGATAATGTCTATCACATTTGTCATTTCTATTTCAGCTGTGGACCTACAGTTACTCAGCAAAAACAAATGCCAGCGCAGGCCATGGAGTTCTGCAGAAAAAGCAGCAGTGTGGTGACAACTGGGGCAGTGCATCACTATGCAAAGAGTTCCTGGTAAAGAGGTCTGCCTCAAGGCACTTGAAGCAGAACCAGTACTGGGAAGTCACAACTGGAAAGATTTAAAGAATCATGTCCACAACTCCATCAAGTCTCAAAAAAGGAAATTGTTGTAGTTCATTTTTAATTTATGTTGTGCAAATAAAGCCAGTTGTGACTAATTCCGTGTGCTAAATTGTCTATCAAGCTTCTATCAATGGAGTGGGTGAATTAAAATAGGTAAATCAAGATTAGAGGACTTTGACAAACATTGCTTTCAGTGTTACTGATTTTAAGCAAACTTAGCAATTGACATGTAAGATTGAAAAAACCTAAAGTTTAGATGTCTGCAAAACTACCCAGTTTTAAATGCAGAGATGCATACCATATACCATTTTTATAATACATTTTT